CGAGTACGAGTTAGTGAGACGCCAAGGAAAGGCCGCGTTTTCGAGTCACTGAAGTACGGTAGTGGGTCCAGTTTTTAGCTTTAAACAGTATTAGACAGCGCGACGAGCATTTTCGACTTTTTACTTTCAACCAATTTTCCATATCTTCGCTAAGGTTCCGAGTTCCACGATTTAGTGTTTGGATTTTGGGAATCTACGGGGGATTTCAGGATTTCCGTCCTGTCGAGAAATGGCCTCCAAATTTCTCCGCATCCTCTCCTTATCAGTGTCCGGATATCGAAAAATTTCTCAAGTCCAACCTGCAAATCGCGACCCCACCCCACAACTCAACACTTCTTCAATTTATCAGCGATTCTTGGCTGTCACCACTTTTTTAGCGTCTACCTCTAAAGTATTCAGGGCCTTTTATCGTACCGTACTGGTGGAATTATTGCGAAATTTTCATGCAATTTGCGATACTTTTATCGTCTCGTACCTCACGGCGTAGGGAGAAGTCAAGCGTATTCCTCTTTTTTTGAGATTTGTGGTTTTTATTAAAATTAGCTCCAGCTCCCTCTAGTTTTCAAATTTTAGCTCTTTTAGTTGAAATGAAGGTAATATCGTATCAACGGACTGAAAGTGCGTTTTTTGATTGAAGTTGCTCATTCACGGAATTCAAAGCGGCTTGGTTACCGTATGAATTCGAAGCGCTTCGAAAAATCCGTATAAAAATGCGAGAATGGGCCTTTTCGGGGCCTTAAATCCTCTTAAAAAATAGATTAGGGTGAAAGTCGTATCAAACAGCTAAAACTGCGCTTTTTCGCATCGAAATCGTTAATTTTTGGATGTCGAAGTGGCTTGACTACCGTAAGAAATTGAGGCGCTTCGAAAAAAAAACGTAAAATTCGTCGATTATTCTTCAAATTCATCAATTTCCAAGCTTTTAAAGCTCCGACTAAAGCACAAGCTTCAAGAGCTTCAAAAGCTTCGCAAATCTCTCGAATTTGAAGTGAAAAGCCTTGACCGTGTCGACTTCCGAAAATCGGCGTCCCGGCCCGTGTCGGTGTTATTGCTGCCCTTGACCAACTGAGGGGGGTGGGTGGGTGGAAAATTGAGCCAGATAGAACCCGGCCGTGGAAGGGACCGATCGGGGAGCACGAGAAGAAGGAGGAGGAGAAGTGCGCGGCGGCGGTGGCGCCGGGCGAGAGCCGACACTGGCTAGCACATACGCCCTAGCCGACAAGGACACCACCACCACCATCGCCCTGTCATCCAGTCAGTCGGCCGTAGCCATCTACCACACTTTGCACTTCGACGGGAGGGTTATCGGGTGACAGCTCGTGATCAAGCTCCTTTCCTAAGAAATATTGGCTAGATACCTTCATTAATTCCCCACGCTGCTGTCTGCTATCCTGCGCCTTCCTCAAGAGGCTCTGCTCGCGGACCCTTTCCTGCTAGCCTGCATTTCCCAAAGGACTCTCTGCTACACTAGCATTTCCTCAAAGAAACCGCTAGCGTCCTTTTCCCAAAGGATTTTTGCTAGCCTACCCTTTCCCTAAAGATCGCTGCTGCCTGCCCTTTCGAAAAACCCTCTTTCCAGTGAGAAAAATTAGCTCAAATTCCTCCAGGATCGCTGCTGAGTTGCCACCAATGAAGATACTAGCCTAACGACAAAATCAGCCCGATTTCCCCAAAAATGGCTGCTGGTTCCCCCATCCCTCGCTGGTACCTTGAGACCGGTGGCAGGTGGTTTGGCTGGGATCATTTTGTCGCAGGTTGCACTAACCGTGGCCGGGTACCAGGGAGGGTTGCAGGCAAAGTATGACCTTGGCCCTAGCATCTGTCCCAACCCCCCTTCCCGGACCACAAATGGATTAATTATGCAGAAGACAGCTGGCCCCGGAGGGGGTAGCGGGGTTGTAGTCGGTGCTTGGATCACATTTCCCGATTGGAGCATGATGCCTGGATTCTGGACTACTGCTTGGGAGAATTTGATGCTGATTTTGAGACCGGAAGTTTATTAAGTTGACTTAAAATTCTTGATGGATCACTGCTAGCATCCCTATTATTCGATTTTCTGTCATCCTAGGGTTTTCCTGCTTGTTGCGATTAAAAATATGACTTTATAAGCTAGTTTTGGTTTATTCGGACTCTCTCTCTCTCTTTCGCTGTCTCACTCTCTCTCTCTCGCTCTCTCTCTTGCTCTCTCTCTAGCCCTCTTCTCTCTCTCGCTCTCGCTCTCTCTATCTCTCTCTCGCTCTCTCGCTCTCTGTCTCTCCCGCTTCCCAAAAAACCAGCCCGCAATCCGCGTACACAAGCAAAAAAGGAACCAGTCGGTGACCCGGTCGAGTGACCAGTGTCGCCCAGTTGATCGCCCCGCTTTCGGGCTTCACGCTCCAAATTTTTCACTTACTGGCGTATTTGACGTTTTTGATATTTCCACCGTATGACCTTATCGAAGTTATAGCTCGAAATTGTGTCAGGTCTCCAACCTTCAGGATTTTTCTTGCCTCTAGCAGCCTTTTAAAACCGTGATTCCGAGATGATCCACTTGACGCGCTGCGTAAAAACAACGAAACGCCCATTTCAGGACGCTACTCCTGACAGCTTGCCCGTGACCCTAAAAACGAACAATTTTCATCTAACCCAGCCCCAAATTGTCCAATTTCTAGAATGATACAGCGAACAGACTGTTCTTGGGGTAATAAAATTAAATTGACGGTCTGCGCCTTCTGTGCGTACCATCTGGAGCATGGTAGGGGCGGGGGATCGGCTGTCCCCCCCTTTAGGATGGCCTTGACTTGTCATCTGGCGCCCCTGGGGCAGTTGACCGCCTGGGTTTTCTGGCCCCAAAATTGACCTCTAATTATCTCTGCCAAGCCTGTTTTCGGCTAATTTGCATATGGGAAATGCTGCAATCGCGATTTTTTCGAAAGATCTTGTTACAATTTATAAAATTCATAAAATACGTGTAACTATTTTAAAAAAATCATTAGAAAATTAAGATTAATTTTTTTATTGCAATATCGCTAATTTGTATTATTTATATTTGTTGAAATTGTATTTTTTGTACTTGTAATGAAAACTTACTAGAAATATTCTACAGGGTGTCCCAAAAAAAAAAGACCCCCCCAAAAATTTGAGCCAGAGGGCACCTACGGAGCTGAAAATTTGCACAGAGGTAGCGAAGCCAATTTCCCATGTATATGGAAAGTTTGAGCCATATCGGCCGGCGGGTTTTAAAGTTATAGCGAAAATACTTTTCATTTTTAATTTAATATGGGGATTTTTGCAATTTGCATCAAAAATATGCGTTATTCTTGAATTTACGAGCCGATTTTGCATAAATTTTGCCAAAAAATGCCATTCTCTTGCTGCAGCTTTTGGAAAACGATTGTTCATGCAGCGTGAAAACGATCAGCAAGACCGCTGAGTACAAGATACATTGGTTGAGACTATCGTTCAGCGCCTGAACTTTACTCAGACTTTGGACTGACTTAAACCCAAGCCCAAATCTAAACTTAAGCACCACTTAGAAGCTCATCGAACTCTGTTTCGGGGCTAGCGCGAAGCAGATTGCCAAAATGCACAATAAGGCGTGGTTTGGATCGATAAAACAGTGGTTTTCACACTCTTTTTACTCTTCATACGCAATCGTTCGCGCCATGCTCCAGCAAGAAAATGGCATTTTTTGGCAAAATTTATGCAAAATCGGCTCGTAAATGCAAGAATAACGCATATTTTTGATGCAAATTGCAAAGATCCCCATATTAAATTAAAAATGAAAAGTATTTTCGCTATAACTTTAAAACCCGCCGGCCGATAGGGCTCAAACTTTCCATATACATGGGAAATTGGCTTCGCTACCTCTGTGCAAATTTTCAGCTCCGTAGGTGCCCTCTGGCTCAATTTTTTGGGGGGTCTTTTTTTTTGGGACACCCTGTATTTGGATTGAAAACAATGGCATTTTTGCAATTCGACAATTTTTGCACCTCCTATTATTGCATTAACTTGCGGTTAATTGATTTTTTAGTTTAAAAGAATTTCCAGTTTTTAAATTTATTAGTTTTTTCAAAACATTTGAAAAATTTTTAAGGTGCAAACGCTGTAAATGAAATTTTTTGCTTATTTTACAAATTTTCTAAACTCTAGATTATATCCGCTGAATTTTAAATCTCTAGAATTTTCGGAAAAACCGGTCCGACCCGTCTGAAATTTTTTAATTACGGGTCCACCCGGCGAAAACCGGTGATTAGCCACCCACCAATTGTCATTTTCTCATCCCCCATCTGACCCCCGTATTTTCGCGCATTTTCAGAGGAAAGAAAAAGATTCGAGGTGCCGGAAAACATATTTTGTTGCAATAAAATCACCATCCAACCCGGGGCACCTGGTGCTCAGATTTTTAAGCCCTAGAATTTCCTAAAAAAAGATTCCCGGGCCCGCCTACACCCGCCACTAAACGGTTGATCGCTTCTATGGGTTCTTTCATCGGATTATTTTTGGCAAAATTACACTCCACGGAATGGGATAAATAGCGGATTTAGCAGCGCAGATTCATTCGGGAATGTTCGCCTATTTTTGGGAGGCCGGAAATAGGCCTGGATTAGGGCCCCAGCGTGTTTTGAAAAGTTTTGTATAAAAGCTGTGAATCTAAAAAGGCCGGGTTGCTCAGAACTTTGTTTTAAAGGGAGACTTTCAGCCAAATTATGGCTCTCTCTATCTCTCGCCATCTCCCTGTCTATCTCTCACCCACTCCGATGCCCCATACTCACTCACTCTCTCTCTCTCTCTCTCTCTCTCTCTCTCTCTCTATCTCTCACTATCTCTATATCTCTCTATCTCTTTCTTTCTCTCTCGCTATCTCCCGCTCACTCACGCTCTCTCTCTCGCTCTCTTACTCTCTCTCCGTCTAACCCTGAATTTCAGCTCCACCTTTCCCCAACCCGGCCACGGTTTTGCAGCCTCTAAATTCCTATAAAATAATTTTTCAAATCCATTCTAATCCCCGGTTTTTCCAGGTGCAAGGGCTTCTTCAAGCGGACCGTGCAGAACAAGCGCGTCTACCAGTGCTCCGGCGGCCAATCCGACTGTCCGATCACGAAGGGTACGGTAGTTTTGGTGCTCTTTAAAATCCACAAACTTCAACGACACCAAAGAAATTCCCAGACGTCCAGAACCCGATTTTTTCTGCTTCAAAATCTGCAAAACCTGGGTAATCTGAGTAATCCCGGGAAAATTTTTGTTCCTTGTCATTTCCCCCCAGTTTTTTCTATTCTGCCTACTCATTTCCAAGGATTTTCAAGGGTCGGTAAGTCGCATTTTTGATGAGATTTCTGACCTCTCGACAATCCGGAAAGTCATCAAAGCCCTATAAACTTTTCCAAAAACCCGCCAAAAGGTCGGAAAATACTCGATTTTCTAGATAACACCCCTTAATTCCGTAATATTAAAAATCAGGGACATTACCGTACCCTCCGGCTACTTGATATTTTCTGAAAACATGAAAAGTTCATCGTGCTATTGCGATTTTTAATGCGCTGTTCCATCGGGTTTTATAGTAATCCCAGGGGGGCTGTGGCCGCTTTGGAATCGGAATAGGGGCCCAATAAGTGGCAAGGAAAAAGAGCTTAAAAGGATTTATAGAGCCCGCTAGGTGCAAATATCGGAATAGGCAGAATATGGATGTAGGGATAGCAGGGGATTCTTGAGGAAATCGGGCCTCTTCCGAGTCGTACTTGCCGAGATCCTTGAGCAAAATTAGGGTTTTTTTTAGGGCGCGCTAGCAGAGCTTATTAAAGAGAGGAGGGTCGCAAAGGCAAGCCAGCAGAGATTGATTCAAAACCTGGGGCGAGGCAAGCTAACAGAGGTTCTTTCGGAAGCAATGCGGGCCGGGGGACAAACTAGCGAAGATTCTTTGGGATTTTTTTTAGGAAGATGTGCCAACTAGCAGATAGCTTTTCAGAAAAGTGAGAAGGGACGGAATGCTAGCAGAGGTTCTTTGAGAGGCAATAGCGGACGAGGGCAGGCTAGCAAAGTTTCTTGGCTATTTCCTAGAAATCGGTAACTAGCAGATATCTTTTGAGTGGATGAATCGAGAGGGGCAAGCTAGAAAATGTTTTTTAGTCAATTTTCAGCGGGTGGTAACAGAGACCCCTCAGGTAGAAGAAGTGCACGCGTGGCAACAAGCAGCGAATTTTTGGGAATTCAGGGATGCCGGGCCATCTAGCAAAGATTCTTTGAGGACTCACCGCTTTCGTGCAATTTTCAAGATTTCTGATGTTCCCAAAAACCAAGAAGCAGAGAACATCTTCCAGCCCGATTCAAGAATCCTGTAGATCTTTGTGTATTTTCCACACTCCCTCCCCCAATCCATTCCGGGGCCCACCTGCGCATTTCCCGTTTCCGGTTTTTCCGGCAAGGCCAAAATCCTACAAAATCTTCCAATTCAAATCCGAGCGTCTTCGCCGAAAAATTAATCCTTCTTTTTTCTGAATTGCATCGCTGTAGAGAGCAAAATCCTTAATCCCAATTTGCGCGGAAGGATTTTTAATGGCCGAAAAATTTCTCTACAGCTACCCGGCACTCCAAAAGCCGCTGTGTTCCCAGCGGATTACCAGCCGCCGGGGGTTCTCAAGTGTTCCCGGGCGTTTTCTGGCCCTAATTCCTCTCGAAAATCCCACAAAAATCCGCTAGATTACCCCCTGACGCAGGCAGGAAATTAGGGGGGAATTTACTCGGATACGCCAAAATTTTATGAGGTGGATCTCTGAGTGTCCGCCGGCAGGGTCCGCCCCTTGTTGTCTCGCGGGGGTCACTATATAAGGCCCCTGGTCACACAGCCAATTTTCACGGATTTACCTTGAGTATTTGAGCGGTTTTCTTGGTCCTAGGATTTTGTATGTAAATCAGGTTTTGATTATTTACCCCGCCCAGGACCCGGTCATCAAGATTTATGGGCCGGTGGGCCACACAATAAGTGCTCGAGGGTGACTTTTGAAAAGGGAATTTTGTGAATATTTTTTGGTCAAAACACGGTTATTGTCTAGACAAAAAATGATGACTTTAATATCAGAATCATATATATTTATAATTTTCTGTAGGAAAAAGCCGTTTTAAGCCGGAAAAAAAATCCGAATTTTTTCGCTGTCGCACTCGCTCTCTCGCTCTCTTTCTCTCCCTCGCTCTCTCTCGCTCTCTTCAGTTATCTCTCGTTCTCTCTCACTCTTATCTTTCTCTCTCACTCTCTCTCACTTTCTCTCTCTATTTCTCTCTCTCTGAAGCTCTTGCTCTCTGGCGCTCGCACTCACTAGCGTAGCTTCAAGAAACATGAAATCTTATTTTTTTAAATTCTAAATTTCACAAAAAGGACATTTTTACACAAATTTAAGCCTTCTTGTTCTTGTGGTATGGGCTGGTCTGATGAAGTCTTTTCGAACTAAAACTTGTTTTTTACAGAACAACGCAACCGTTGCCAGTACTGTCGCTTCCAGAAGTGCTTGAGGCAAGGAATGGTCATTGAAGGTCAGTTTTTCTAAAGGATGACCAGATTACCGTATCTTGGCTGACCCACCGCGCCCCAAAATTTAGCCTTGCAGCCTTCAAAATTAATTTTTACAAAATTCATATTTCAGCCGTCCGCGAAGATCGCATGCCTGGAGGGCGCAACGGGTCCGCCATCTACAGCATCTACAAAATGAAGTACAAGAAGTCGGGGCGAAAGATCGGGGGCGAGTATTCGCGGCGGATCAGCTCCGGCTCGAACACCAACACCGACACGTCGTCGTCGACGGGCAGCTCGGGCAGGGTTGGTCCTTTCTGAACGAGCTTGACTTATTTTATCGTCATTTTTTCGCCATAATTTTAGCTAAGATTTTCTTACATAGTGATAATTATCGTCTAATTATGTTTATTTGCAAGCAAGTCATTATTTTTAGGCGAACGCCGTGATCAGCGTCACTCCACTCCCTCCGACTTCTCAGGACGAGATGTGCTCATGGACAGCGCCGCATTCTACGAGCCGGAATTTGATACAGGTTCGTAGAAAATTCGGATTCATTAAAAATGTGATTATATTCTAAAAAAAAACAAAAAAATCGTAATGGGCAGGATAGCAGTGATTATTAGGGATGGTTGGTGCGAAAACTGATCTGATAGGCTTTTTGGTTCTATGGAAATTTGTCCGTTTCCTCTTTTTCTATCTCTGCTCTCTCTTCTCTCTCTCTCTCTCTCTCTCTCTCTCTCTCTCTCTTTCTCTCTCTCTCACTCGCTCCCAGATTCTGAAGGGCCAGCTAGCAAAGATTCTTTGCGGAATTAGAGGAAATCCACCTTTAGGCTTTTCTCAGCATCAAATTCTGATCTTTGATCTTTCATCCACCAGCCTAAGGCTTTCACTTTCCCGAAATGGAATGGATAAGCGTAGTCTGAGAGTGGAACTGAGCATGAGCTTTTTAAAGGGGCCAGAAATGCGGGGATGGGGGTCAAGGGTGTGATAGGGGGGAGACTGTGGCTGGGTGCGGGGTGGCGGTGCGGATCGTCCGAATCCAAACTTCTCAACTGTGCCAAGGACATTTAGCACACAGTCCGAGTGTAGCCCCTGCTGCTGGTGAAGCCCAAATTTGAATTTGACCCCGGATCGGGATGGTGGAGGCTAAAAGGGGAAAAATTTTGGCGACTTGAGCCCGAAGCGTACTAGCAGAGTGCTTTGGGGAAAGAGTTCGCGGACTACAGTACTGAGTTGAAAGTTCTTATTTCCTAAAAGACCGCACCTAGTTTGCCTTTCGAAAACTCATTTTGCGACCTAAAAATTACCTCAAAATGCCGTATTCCAGGAACTGATCGACATCGACGGCATCGATCGCCTCATCAACCTGAAAGGGCTGAAGATTTCGATGCGGGATGATGAGGATTTGGCTCCTGCCACGCAACGACTCTCCCGGATAGGTTAGTATTAACAATCTCTCTCACTCTCGCTCTCTCGCTCTCTCTCGCTCTCTCTCCCGGTCTCTCGCTGTCTCTCGCTGTCTCTCTCTCCTTTGAAGAACCGGCCAATTTTAGGAGACGAAATTGTCGAGCAGCTCGTCGAATGGGCCAAGCAGCTGCCCTTCTACGGGGAGCTGCCGGTAGAAGTTCACACTCATCTACTCACGCAACGATGGGCCGAGCTGGTGCTCCTCTCGGCGTGCTTCTACTCAACGTGCAGCGTCACAGATGTGGCCGAGGATTCGGCGGTTTCGGCGACGACGCTGGATGAGAACGGCGAGGTGGGGTGAACTGCTTGAAGTCGTTGAAAATTTTGCGCGTTTTATTAAATTCAATCGGCTTTAGATTTCAGTTGAACGTTGAAGTTGTCGGAAAAATGCTTTTGGGTTCAGAAGCAGATTCTAAGTTGTTTTTTATAGGTGAGCTTCGTCGATTCTGGAGTCAACATCCGTCTGCTTCAAAATCGTCTGAGCCAAGTGATGCGCAAGGATATACCTCTCGAGCATGTCATGAAGTCAGTTTTGGCATATCCGCCTCTCTCTCCCTCGCTCTCTCTCGCTCTCTCTCTCTCTCTCTCGCTCTCTCTCTATCTCACTCCCCCACTCCCTCCCTCGCTATCTTTTTTGACACTGCCTACAAGTTCAGAAGTAATTTATGGCTTTTCAGGGAAGCCGGCGCGCTTGTCGAGAAGTTCACAGCTCTCCTGAACACCTTCAGCAGGCTGAGAGTGTCTCCAGAAGCCTACGTCTGCATCAAGGCCATCGTGTTGTTGCATTATTCTACTGCTGGTAAGTTTGGCCTTATAAAGAAGAGAGAGAGAGAGAGAGAGAGAGAGAGCGAGAGAGCAAGAAAGATATTCACCTAAACTATCTAACCATCCGTTTTTAGACATGGGTGAGGGCAGAGACGGCATGATCCGTAACGCGTTCGTGCGCCGCGTATCGGCCATCCAGGACCAATTCGTGAAGGCTCTCCAGATCCACCTCCTCCAGCACGAGAATGGCCCCCGGCTCAGCGATGTGCTCACCTGGTAAGCAAGCAAGAAACCTGTTATAAAGGGGCCGGGAAGGCAAAATCCATGGACTAGAGAAAAAGAGCTACGCATTTTTGTCTTGCACGGTCCTTTAAAATTGCCCCAAAAAGTGTCGGGCAGCAGAAATGTTGAAATTTCGCGGAAATCGGTTTTTCGGATGCGATCCTGGTGCACAGCGGCGATGAATTTGCATAAAAAAATGACCGTACGCATTTAAGAAGGCTTGGAATTAGGAGGTCTTTCCTGGCTTTCACGGTCCTATAAATTATTAAAAAAGTCGTTTTAGCTTGCGTTAGGCTCGGTATTTTGCTAAAATCTGGATCCTAAGACCATTCAAACAGATTTTTGGTAGTATTTAGGCGGTTATTTAGACAAATGGGTTTTTCCTAAGGTCTTAGAACCTCTAAAATAAGCTAAAAAAGGCGATTAGACCCTTTTTACCAGACATGGCAAGTGGCCGCGGCCCGGCCGTAGCTACCCATGGCCGGCCGCGGCCGGCCGCATATGAAATTAGCATAAATCCCGGCCACCGCGGCCGTTTCCAAAAAAGAGTCTGGCCGGCCGCGGCCGGCCGCGGCTGCACCATGGCGAAAATAATGACCTATTTTTAGGATTTCGAGTTGAATTTTACTGATTTGCATGATTTCTGAAAAGGAAAAAGGCAACGAGCAGTTCATTGCAAAAGCCGCGGCCGGCCGCGGCCGGCTGCGGCCCCAGGACGTTTTTGCGGCCCGGCCCGGCTGCGGCCGTGGGTAATTTTTGCGGCTTTGCGGCCGGCCCCGGCCGTGAAAAAAATTTGCATGCGGCTTCCGGCCGGCCGCGGCGGCCGTTTTGCCATGTCTGCTTTTTACCCATCGTTTTCCAGGCTGCCTCAACTGCACTCGGCCTCCTCGGTGCTGCTCCACTCGAAGATGTTCTACGTGCCGTTCCTGATCTGCAAAAACCCGGAGAAGCTCACCGCCCGCTCCCCCACCCCGACCTCAGAGGCCTCCGATTAGACATTTTTTGCTAGTTCTTAATCCCCATATACAAATTTAATGTTTTTAATGGATTTTCAATTCCCAGATTCTTTCACGATTTTTTACAAATTTTGAAATTCCAAATCCATCCCTCTCTTGCCCGTCTTTCAGTTTTCTTGCCGTTTTTTTCCGTAAGAAAATCTCATTTTTAGAACTATTTTAGTATTTTGCTGAACTTCCGAATTTTTCCAAATTTTTACACCCACACTGCCAGCCACCCCCGATTTTCGATTGATCTTGCGTTGCCGGATGAAAATTTGAGGCTTTTATCTATTTAAAGTGATTTCAATCGCTTTAAATTAATTTAGATAGATTTAAATTCGTTTGCGTCGATTTAAATCGATTCTGAATAATTTAGATGAATTTTTAGTGCATTTAAATCGCTTTAAGTCCTCAATTTTCCATCTTGGTGGCGCCGCCCCCCCGAAATGTGCAATAACAATAGCTGGATTTTGCGCTTTTTTGCGTCGTGGTGATTTAGTGCTTTTCGCTTGTCGATTCCCTCATTTTATCGATAGCATTCCAATTTGTTGTGCGAGCGCCTTTTTGGGATTTTTGGTTTTTTAACAAACGTGCACCGGTTGAATAAAAGTTTTTTTGTATAAATAGGTCAAATACACGCTAAAATAGCAGAAACAACGGAAAAGGTAATTGAGGTACATTGCCAGCACGTAGTTTTTCGAAAATAGCGCAATTTGGAACGTAGCGTCTACGAGACAATCGGATAATTTTGAAGCCGTCGCTTCTGGAAAGCTGGCGTCATTTGTGAAGTACCGTAGTTTCGGAAATTACGGAATTTCTAAAGCGTCGTCATCCGAAAGCCATCGTGATTTGTAATGTCGCGTAGTGCAAGGTATCGTAAGGCAGCGTAGTGTAGCGTAACCTAGCGTTATGTGCGTAGGCGATAGCCCTAAAAGTACCGTAGCCTAGTATCTGCAGGCTGAATGGAAGCTCATTCGAAACTATATGAAAAGGAAAATCCCGAATATTCTTCATATCAAATCCAGAAAAATATCCGATGTGAAATTTTGCTCCCGTTTCATAACAAATCATACATCGTAATTTAATAAAATTCAAAGACCTGTAGAAAAGTCTCTCGAGAACAGCAAAAACGCCAAATTGCAATTACTCTACCCAGTACCTTATGACCGCCCATTCGATCGCAAAGATCCGGCCACGGGACCTCCATTTTGTTTGATTTCCCCCGGGGCCCCTCGTAAAAATTAACGACCCTGAAGAAATGTAGACAATCTTGGGCAATAGCATCAGAATGTTCATTTAGAGGCTGCCGGGCGGCTTGTTTGATTTTTTGGATGTTTGAGGGGGTTACGGTAGCCGTGAGTTGGTGCTGAATTTTAATAAACTGGGCTCTCATTTAGAAATGTTGTTATCTCTATATCTCTCACTCTTTCCCTAGCTTTCTCTTTCTCTCTTTCTTTCTGTCTCTGTCTAGCTCTCACATTCTCTCTCTCTCGCTCTCTCTCTCCCTCTTTTAAATTCGATAAAAAACCAAGAATTCCGTTACGCTACTAACAACACTCACGTCATCCCCCTCATGAACCCACCTGCTTCCAAACTTCCCCCCGAAAGTCCAAAGCCTGCAGAAATTCCGCGTCTTCCCTTTCCGAAGCCACCCGGGCAGGTCACCTGGGAAATCAACGGAAAAAGGGCGTCGAGTAGGGCTTGTGGCTAGGTTACCGAGCTTCTATGGACGGCCGTCAAAATCACGTCTTTTGTATGAAATGGGTGAAAACGAGGGATACGGTAGTTTTAAAGTAGCATGCAAGTCACGATTTTTACGAGATCAGAATTGTCTATCGTAACAGGTGAGAGAGTTGTTTAGAAGAAAGCTTTCATCAAATGCAAATTCATGTGAAAATCCATAGAGCCAAAGGTCCTACCCAACCCTTCCTAGTACCTTTAAAATCCCGAACGTGTCGAAATCCACGTCCCGTTTTTGCAAATTTGTGGTCAGGTCGACGGGGGCTTTAGGGGTGGCTCCACCCTCCGGTGTCGCAGACTCCGAAATCGGATTACTGATACCTTCGGAAGGGATCGGAGAAGAGTGGGGGGCCCGCCACGAAGACGAACACATCCTTGCCAGCCTGACACACCTGATACCCCTTTTTCCCAGCTTCAAGGAAGGGTTACGAACGGCCCATTCAGTAGGAGAATCAGGGTTATCGGAGCTCCTTGAAATGAAGTCTTTGCCCCCATTTTCTAGCTTAATTTTTGAATTTTTGCTATTTTTCGTACCGATGATCAGCTCGGGCGAATTGTTGATTTTTTTTGCTTTTGAACTTTGCCCGCCGGCCTTCGGCCTCTAATTTTTCATGTTCAACTTTTTCGAGTTTCTAGATTTTCTCTCTACCTTATCGTGACCTAACTTAATCTATTCGGTAATCTTTCGAAGTAATTTTCACTAGTCATAGCCGACATAAGGTCATCTCTCCGGTTCGCCTATGCGTAGTTTATCTTCGAATACATACCGATTCCATTGATCCAGAATCCAGGAATGCTGGATCCTGGACGTGGATGAACGGCCGCATGCGGCCGGCCGGCGGCATACCGTAAACCTCAATCCCCCTGAGCATCGTTCACTTCTTGAGCCGGATTTTTAATGCCGCTTTCTTGTAATTCGCGCTTTGTCGAATCATTTCTATATTTTTTATCACGAGAGTACAGGGTGGGCCAGAAAAAAAGCCCCTAGTTTGCACTGAAATATCTCGCGAACGGAAACGAATCAAACCATCGTTACCTTGCCAGAATCCTTAAATATGCTGGGTATGAAGAATAAACACAAGTTGTTTTTTAGGATTTTTGACGACCCCCTACTCGTTAAGAATTTTTGAACATTTTTGAAAAAGTAGAAAACTTTGAAGAGGAAATTAATGGAACTTTTAATGCGCTAGGGGCTCATGTAAGGTATCAAAATGAAGCTCTTAGAATGCGCTATCAAACCAGTGTTAAAGTATATAGAGCGGTTTAACTAGCTGTAAAAAGGAACGTTCGGAAAATCGGCACTTTTTGCAGAAATAATTCCAGATATAATTTCTTTACCATCCGATCTTTCTGATATTTTGCATTTACCAATAGATAGTTAACTACTCACTTTTGGCATTAAGATTTTCAAAATCCCGATCAAAAAAATTTTTGGCACTTTGCCAAGTCGGCGGAATTTGTAAGTTCTAGGCTCCTTTCGTTAAATTTATAACATGGTTATCTTTGGCAAACAGGATTACATCTAACAACCACAAAAAGTGATGGCGGCCATGTGCTTTCTATGGTTAACTCGGAATCGCTCCTTCTGGAAAAGTCCGAGTCTTCTGAATGCTCCTATTGACGGCTAGTTAATCCGAATGACAATCTTTACCACTGGTTTGATAGCGCATTCTAAGAGCTTCATTTTGATACCCTACATGAGCCCCTAGCGCATTAAAAGTTCCATTAATTTCCTCTTCAAGGTTTTCTACTTTTTCAAAAATGTTCAAAAATTCTTAACGAGTAGGGGGTCGTCAAAAATCCTAAAAAACAACTTGTGTTTATTCTTCATACCCAGCATATTTAAGGATTCTGGCAAGGTAACGATGGTTTGATTCGTTTCCGTTCGCGAGATATTTCAGTGCAAACTAGGGGCTTTTTTTCTGGCCCACCCTGTACTGAGAGTAGCCTCGTCTTACTTAGAGAACTGTCTATTGTTCAGTATCGTAAATGACCTGCCTACCTTCCTGCGGTTTTCCCGTGCTGGCTCTCCGTGGTTCGATTTTTAGCACAAATTCTAAATTTCTTATGTCATTCCACTCTTGGCCGCACGCCAGCAAGCCATAGGAGGTCGTGGTTTTGGAAAAGTCATTGCCGAGGCGTAATCCGGAACCGTTTTTGAGGCTAACCCTCCTGGAACTTGGACCTCCCCTCAAAACACATCAGAACCCTCGTTTTTCTGTCCACATTTCATTTCTGTAGTTTGATTTTTGAGTCATCTTTCGCTATGTCCAGGCTTGGCAACACGCCAGAATACGGTATTACCTCGTTTTCCTGCTCCAACCTTCTGCTCTGTCCACAGTTCATTCCCGTAGTCATTCTCCCCTTCCACGCGACCGAGCACTCCTGAATACAAAATCACAAAAACCCTCCCTAACAACCCCCGGCTAGCAACCCCGTCACATTAGCCCATGTTTTACGAGCTTTTCCCGAAAAAAGACAAGTCCAAGGGGCCAAGGGCCCAAGTTTTAGGGTGCCAGAATATATTGGTCTCCCGGTCTCCAGGTGCCACCTAGGAACTTCCCAAATATCGTCATATTTAGGGCCCAGCCAGCGGGTCTAGGGCCAAGTTCCGGGCCCCGTTTTGAGCCCTTTTGGAAGGGTTTAGGATTTGACTTTATGCATTGCTGCCTCTTTACGCCGTTTTCGAGTTTTTTTTCGCTTCTCCTTCTCGGTTCCTTGGAACCAGCCACGTAGGTTTGGGTGTCCCGCAAAAATCAGTCTGGCACGCGATTTTCTCAGAATTTCTGGGAGTCAAAAGCTGCATTTGGAAAATGTGAAGTAGGAAAAACGGAGATATGAAAGATTTACATGGCATGTATGGACTTTTTCAACTTGAGGAGTGAATCAGTTTCTTACGGTGGTTTTCCATAGATCGAAAAGTAAAAATGAGGAATTTGACGAAAGACGAAAAAAAAATTTGCGAGCGAATTGTGTGTCTTTTTCGTAGATTTACATGGCGTGTGTGAACCCGTTGAGCTTGATGAGGTGAATCAGCTTGGTACGGTGGTTTTGCTTGGGTCAAAAATGAAAATGAGGAATATAAGCATGGAATTTGCGCCCGCACGGACTTTTTGTGACAGATCTACATGTGTGAACTCGTTGAACTTGACGGAAGTGAAACACTTTTTGTAACGTTTTTTGTTTTGACGAGGCCGGGATCTTTTTTTTGTAAATTTAGATGGCGTTTTTGAACTCGTTGAACTTGACGGGAC